CTGTCTGAGGAAAACCAGGGTTGTTACAGGTGACCCCCAGAAGCCCACCCACCCACCCGCTGCCCTCTGGATGGCACCTCAGGTCAGTCAGGACTCACAAACAGCTTCTTCCTCTGGGCCATTGGGACTGTTAACAAACACTAAAAGAAAATATTCATATTTCATCCCTGCACAGTTCATGTGGAGCACCCACAATTTCATTGCACATGCACAATGACAATAAAGGCCTATTCTATTCTATTCTATTCTATTCTATTCTCATTCAAAGGAAAAAGGGATTTGGTGATGAACTGAGTTTCTTTATTAGCCATAACTTGGGGATCTGTCAGGATATTTGACTAAAATTAAAACTCCAAAACTAAAACTGGTCATTTTATTTGAGACAAAGCTAAAGTTGTTCCCACACTGAGCCACAGAAACAGTGTTCACATGCACTCAAAGTCATCATCGTACCTGTGGCAGGAACATCTTTCCAGCTCCGAACAAGTCTCCCACCGCCTTCATGCCGTTCATCAGGGGTCCCTCGATGATACGAAGGGGTCGAGTGTAGCGGTGAACCTGAGCCCGACACTCTTCAACATCCTCCACCACATACTTCTCTATTCCCTAACAGATCAATACAAGACGGACCAATAATGACATCTGATGTTAGGAACATTTTCAAAACAAAATCAATATATATAAATTTCATGTGTGGAATTTTGGATTCTGAGGCAGTGTTTGAACATGAATACTTCACAAACGATTAAAGATAAAATCCAGACATTTTCACTCTCCCTTCTTAGAGTAAAATAAATTAGGATGTGATCATGAGAACAGACACATCTAAAACTATCTGCCAAAACAGGGCGTGGGTGGCAAAGGCTGGTTTGTTTCAGAACACACTTCCGACTTGATTCTTTGAAAAATAAATGATGTTTATTTCAAAATAAAAACCAAAAATCAACCCAATCATTTCTTACAACTCAGATGTAAATGAAAGTCAACTTAATCCAAGTCCACAAGTTCATAAAGTGTCAAAAACATTTGAAGCCTCACGTCGTCCCACCTGACCACCAAAACCCCCCCAAACATTTCCACCACACCCACAGCGTGCCCTTAATCTCTAAATTAATGGGAGGGTCCAAAAGTTAAAACTTATCACGACGTCTTCAGGCTCAGCCGACTGCTGGTGTCCCCAACCCCAAGGGTACATTTGGATAGTGACTGAAACCAGCACTACTGGTGAACAAATGGGTGTGAGGTCAGTTCTTTGGATCATAATTATGAAACTTGTCACGACTATTGAAAAACAATTAACCATTCACCTCAAGAGGATCCGACAGACTGATAATGCTTCTAGA